CGGCTTGCGCATGTCACCATGGGGTGCCGAGTGGCACGTGTCAATCTGCAAAAGGTGAAGTGACAATTGCGCAATGAGTCCTTGAAGGATGGCAGGTGGACACCTGCCCAACCAGACTCTGGGGGATTGGCGGCTCCATCGGGCTCCCCGCTAAAAGCAAACAGGTGGAAAAAAGGTTGACCCTTCATATATCATATTCCAGGGTAACATAGGGTAACTGAAGGGGTCAGCATTGAAAACGGGTCATCTCATTTTTTTGCCGATCACATTTGATATTGATCACTCTTGAATCTTGAAGATCAACTGGCACCAGAAGTAAGGTGTCAATCTTCAGGTGGTTGACGGTCAACAACGTTTTTTGTTGCATTTGTATGCAGTCTCGCATAAAGCCCCCCTAGAGCAACTCTGGACTTCATACCCATTCGCCAGCGCTCAGTACAATCATGTTCATCTAGAATATTCTAGAATATTATTGATTATAGTAAAATCATCCCATGTAATTTTTGGATGGGAAAGCCTCTCCATATGGGGTGTTTGTGGGATGTTTTATATGTGTGTTGTTTAAATCGAGCTTCTATATTCAATTCCATATCCCATACACTCCATGTATGGCATATATGCCTACATTGACCCCCAAAACCACCCCAACTGATCGGCATATATGGCAGTCCCATGGAGTGTCTGGGTATGTACAATCACTAGGACCTAGGATGGAAGCCAGAGCCAGCCAAGGGGCCTTTCTCGCCTTCGGAAGCCCTTAGCACTGCGTGACCCTCGCCCGAAGAAACTGCCAAGGCCACGGACGCTGCAGCTGAACACCAAGGCGACACTGGTCGCGTGTCAAAACGTTTCAACCAGGACCACAGGAGGACCTCCTGTTGGGGGCTTCTATTGATAGCCTGTCCATTAACCACCCCACACGTGGGTCCAACAAACCATGTTGGCCCGAAAACGCCCAACGAATCGAGACCAAGCTTGGATTGGCAGACTCCTTCCTGCCCGCTCCCAGCGATCATCAGCCAGGCAATGGCAGGGCAGCTTCCAACCAAAGAGGCGTGGCACGGCTAAGCCGGCAGACAGTGCCGCCGAGCTTCCCTGAAAGCCCCACGGTTTCCGCTCAGCTCTCAAACGGCTTGGTCGCACCGAACAAGGGCTCGTGGCCGATAGGAGTTCGGAGGCTCCAGTTCGTTGGTCTCGGTTCGGGCTCCAGTCGGTCCCTTTTTTTCGAAGGTGGTGTTTGGGGTGGGTGCCATGTTCGGGTCCAGTCATACCGAACCTGAGGAGCCACGACTGGAGAGCCTTAGGGAGATTGACACCAGTCAGAGATTTTTGCCAGCAACACTTGGCCAGGTTAAGGGTAGGTTCAGTGTAGATGGCACAAATGCATGATGCATTGCTCTAGGATTCCAAGCACCATTCACTTAATAGGCTTTACCAAATAACCATTGTAATACTATGGACTTCACACAGCAAAACCAGGTCAACCATGTGTTAATGGTTTTGGGCGTCTAGGGTTGTAAATGGCATATCCCTATTTCAGCTTCGCATAACTCCTCACAGCCCCTCACCGCTTTGGAGGAGTTTATGGAGGATCCGAAGGCGATCTTGGAAAAGCAGGGGCTCCAAGTCCCTAGTCCCTAGGGCTCCAAGTACCTCCTTACAAGGTGTCTGGGGATGTTTGGGGAGGGTGCCAGGAGGGTCCAAATACCTTCTGAGGAGGTACTTGGAGTCCTAGGGAGTTTGATGATGTACAACTTCATCATCCCAGTGGATAGAAGATGCAGCCAGATGCAACCTGCGCAAAAAAATCAAAGTGCTCAGTTTGAGGTGGCACCACGGAAGATGACTGCATTCTGTAGTCATTGATTGCTCCAAAGGGGTTGGGACAATGTACTGGAAGAAAACCTTACTTGAGAAGTCGTTCTCAGCAGATGGCACGAGTTGCGCCTACTCAATCATACCAGTTGCTTCCGTTCGGGGTCACCGGGGTCATCTGGCTG